TTGGAGATAGAGAAGCCTACCAACAAGGCGTCGATAGGTGCTTGCATCTACCTTGTCAGCATCATCTCCTTTATCGAGCTTCAAATTTTGTTCCATAGGAAACCGACTAGGCCGACAACCAAGCATGCCAGAATCTTCGAGCACATCAATGGTGTATTTGCGTTGACAGAGTACTAGCCCTTCATTTGTGCGAGCTACTTCAATTCCCAAGAAGTATTTCAAGGTTCCAAGGTCTTTAATACTAAAAGTCTTGTCAAGGCATGACTTCGTATCTTCTATCTTTTTTCTATCATTCCCCACAATGATAACATCGTCAACATAGATGAGTGCTGCCACAAAGATATCTCCATCTTTGTGAATAAAGAGCGAGTGATCAGCATGAGATTGTCGAAAAGCAAGATCTTGAAGGGTAACAGTGAATTTGTGATACCAGTTTCGCGAGGCTTGTTTTAGGCCGTATAAGGACTTCTTTAGCTTACATACACGTGTCTCATTATCTTTTCTGAAGCCTTGTGGTATTTTCATATAAATGTCTTCATCGAGATCGCCATGCAGAAATGCATTGTTGACGTCTAATTGGGATATGATCCAGTCACGCTTGACAGCTATGGTAAGCAAAACACGAACAGTGACGAGTTTAGCAACTGGGGCAAACGTGTCATGAAAGTCGACTCCTTCCATTTGCGTGTAACCTTTTGCCACAAGGCGTGCTTTGTATCGTTCCACCTCTCCATTCGGCTTATACTTCACTTTGTACACCCACTTAGAGTCTATAGCTCTCTTGTCTTTTGGCAGACTCGTAAGTTCCCAAGTGTTGTTTTGCTCAAGGGCTTCAATTTCCTTCTGCATTGCCTCTTTCCATCGTTTGTCTCGAACTGCTTGATGGAAAAATTTAGGCTCATCGTGGGTGACGATGGCACCTAAAAAGGATTTGTGAGATTGAGAAATTTTTTTATAAGAGACATAATTGGTAAGAGGATGTACCGTAGAGGCGATTCGATCAATGACGGGTCGCGGATGATTTATCGAAGGGGGGAGCTGCACTTCATAGTCTTTGTAACGGGTGGGTTGTGACCTGTTTCTGGTTTCTCTTTGCTGATCGGTGCTGATGGTTTGCTGATCGGTGCTGCTGGTTTCACTGTCGGCGTGATGGTTCGTTGGTACATAATTATCTTCAACTTCGCCAAAGACATCATTTACAACACTCGTCGTATGTTGGTTGTGGTCAGAATGACTTGTGGGGCCGTTGTCTTCGATAAAACTGTCATGCATGGCAGTCTCGGTTGATGAGTTTTGATCAGGGGGTGTGATGATCTTATCAGCAAAGCGAAAAAGATCTTCACTGTCGGCTAGTGGTTGCATGTTTCCATGCATATGTTTCATGGGAAACTCATTTTCAAGGAATCTCACGTCCCTTGATATCACTAACTTCTTGGTTTCCATGTCATAAATTTTATAACCTTTTATCCCTTGAGGGTACCCAAGGAATATTCCTGGTTTGCCTCGTGGTTCAAATTTATCTCCCCCAGTGTCGGTGTTGCGATAGTATGCCAAGCATCCAAAGACGCGCATATGATCATAATCTAGTGACTCATTGAAAAGAAGCTCATAGGGAGTGAGACCACGAAGTACCTTGGAGGGGAGTCGATTTATGACATAGGTGGCAGTCAATATGCACTCACCCCAAAAGGTTTTCGGCAGGTTTGCTTGAAATAAAAGGGCACGGGTTGTTTCAAGCAAGTGTCGATGCTTGCGTTCTACCACCCCATTTTGCTGTGGGGTGTATGGACAAGTGGTTTCTAAAACAATGCCTCTCTTGGCATAGAAGTCGAACATTTTTTTAGAGATAAAATCTCCCCCGCTGTCACATCGTATCCGTTTTATGTCTTTCCCAAATTGTGTTTTGACCATTTTGTGAAAATTTATGAGATGTAAACCAACTTCATGTTTGTGTTTGATAAGAAAAGTCCACACTGATCGGCTATAGTCATCAACTATTGTTAAAAAGTAGAGAGCCTTTGATAGGGACGGGATTCTATATTTTCCCCAAACATCACAATGTATAAGCTCAAAACAAGAAACAATCTTTATTTCACTAATGGGAAATGGCAACCTAGTGTGCTTTGCTTTAAAACAAGCATAACACATTTTAGTTTGGTTATTCCTAGAAACATCTCTAACAAAATTTAAATTCAAAATCTTCTTGGGTGATGGATGACCAAGTCTTTTGTGCCAAACCTCGAAAGTTGTCACGAGAGCCTTCTTTTCCATTGCCCCCATTCGATACAATCCTCCAATGCAGTTACCAGCACCAATCAAGTCCCTCGTCACTAATTTCTGCACAACAAAGAAGTCAGGAAAGAAAGTTACAGCACAATTAAGGTTCCTTGCAAGTTTGTTAACAAATAACAAGTTGTAATTGAAATTAGGAACATGTAAGACGCCATCAATTTTGAGACCTCCTGGTAGGGTGTGTTCACCCTCACCCATAACGGGCACCTTATCGCCATTAGGGATGATGACAGGTGTGTTCTTTGGTGTTTGTGACTCTGTTATCAAGAAAGTCACTTCGATGGGTGATGTGTTCGGTTGCACCCGAGTCAACCACCCATCCATCATACATGTTAGTTCTACCTGCCAAATTAGCTTTAGGAGCCTCATCTTCTCGAAAGTGTGCAACAAAAAGACGACACTGTTCATCCGTTAACCCTGGTATGGGGCTGGGTCCAACTTCTACACAAGCTGCTTTTGCATTTGGTTTGTCTTTCTTTCCCGGCCACTAATCAGGGTAACCTATCTTCTTGAAGCACCCATCGCTTTTGTGTCCTTCTTTTCCACAAAAAGTGCATTTTTCTGCCTTGTCGCTACTCTGTTTCATGATTCGTTGTGCTCCTTTGTTAGCCGTCCGTGTGCTTTGAACCCTTGTGTAGTGCGTGTTGCCTTCCTGTTCATCACGTTCACCTGGAAGGCTGTTGTTTCGCCAACTGATTTTCTGGATCCACCTGTGATTGCGCGTTGCTGTTCATCTTCAGCAACCAGGTGATACATGGCCCCCAAGGAAGGTGGTGGCTTCATGGCAAGGATTTGGGTTCGGATGATGGAGAACTCCTCATCGAGCCCCATAAGAAACTCATAAATTCTTTCTTTCTCATTCACTTCATTCAATCTTCTTCCTAAAGAGCAATCACACCCATCACAGGTACATCTTGGTGTTGGGAGAACGAGTTGCAGTTCATCCCATAGGGTTTTTAATTTCGTGTAGTAGGATGAAACCGAAGTCCCGTCCTGCCTTGTAGTGTTCAACGACTGTTTTAGCTCGTAAGCCCGTGGAGCACCTTCCTTCTCAAACCTCTCTTCCAAGTCTTTCCAAATCTCGGCCGATGTATTAGCGTACCTCACACTGGTCCGGATGTCCCTCTCCATGGCTGTTGTCAGCCAGCCCTTGACCATGGCATCTGCACGCATCCATGCCATATGCATGGGGGATGCAGAATCTGGTTTGTTGATTGACCCATCGACAAACCCCTTTTTATTCTTGGCAAACAGAAAATTGATCATCTCCTGCCTCCATTCGTTGAAGTTGTTATCATTTAACACGTCATTAACCTGCATCTGTTTAGGGTAATCTGACGGATGAATGTAGTATGGGGAATTGACATGGATGGAGTTAGCATCGATGGGTTCTTCAGTCTTCTTGCTTGCCCCCGGATCATCACCTTTCTCTCCTGTCATGGCGGCTTCCAATCTAGGTTTTCTTCAACGGATCATGGCTCTGATACCATAAAGAAACTGAGAAAACAATATATTCCATTGATTGATTATTGATCATACTACGTACAAGCATTAAAGAGATCCTTATAAACAGGATCAGATAAACTAGCTAGAAAATAGGCTAAAGATAAACATAGAAATAAATTAAACAATACGTGATTATCTTAATGGAATAGTCTAAATGTGTAAAATAGTTCCATTAAGTGGTTTAGTTTAATTATGTTTTCAATTCCTTTCCCCTGGCTTAGATTGAATTTGTGGCTTCAATTCCTTTTCTTGGTTTCACTTCCTTTTTTTCCGGAAAAGATTCTAGTACCAAATGTAGCGGATTGTGGTGGTTGAGGCGGACGGTGGCGACGGTGGTGGTTAGGGACCATTCGTGCAAGAAAAGTTTCATAAAAAATGTTTGAAGGATATTTTAAAAACACAATGATCATTCGTGAATTTAGTCAAACAAAAATACAATATTGTTCATGTTTGCTAATGAAGATAAACAAAAACATTATGACGAACAGTTCACAAAAAATTTGCCGAACGTTTCATTTGTTATAGCTCTAAATATATATCAAGTTCCAAATATCATTTTAGTTAATAATTTTAAATAAAACTTAACACTTTACTTAAATAACTACGAACTACAGGGACCATTTATGTAACATGAAAGTACGCTATAACGCACCATTGTGGGCTTATCGTAAGGTTTGCAAGATCCAACGGCTACCACCTCTTCCCCTTCCTCTCTCTTCCATCCACCGCCATATACACTCTTTTTTATTTTCCCGCCCAAGGCCCTTCCCCGCCCGATTCTTCATTTTTCACGACCCCATCTCCCTGTCCCTATTTCTCTCCGATCTTCGTTCTTGAAATCCGAGACACTGTCAGCAGGTACGCGCATTCATTTTTTCTATCAAAAATCCAGAGCTCGTATAAACATATCGCCAAGACTCGGAATTTCGCTAAGAATCGACTGGTTTTGAGAATACCCAGGTTTATCTTTTCAAGAATCTTGTTATGTCTTTTAACATTCCAGTTTTCGTGTTTATTTAGACATATAGTCATAATTCTGAGTTGGGTTGTGGAAGATTTTATTTTGGGGGTTCTGTGGTTGGATGCTCTGAGTACTTAAAAAAGGTACTTGTGTCGTCGTGGGTCGGGACGAGGAGGTATAATAAGGACAGGTTTCCAGGGCTAATCCTTGCGAAGGCTTACTAATTTTTTTAAGGGTAGCCATGGGATCAGCGGGGATGAAGAGGAGTGCTAGGGTTTCCGGCGATACGATTATAAGGTCAGGGAGACGATTAGTTGCTAAGCGCATGAGGTTAACGTCCATGGCTGTTGTAGACACCCAAGAAAACAAGGTTGAGCTTCTTGATCAAGAAAAACATGAAAGAGAAATCAAGTTGGGCGAATCCACGAAACACATAAATGGTACTGATCAGGTTAACGGAATTGATCACGAAGAACCAAGAGAAATCAAAGAGAATGGGCATAGAACCGATGAACAAGAAGATGAGATCAAATTGGAGGAATCCAAGAAAACGAGTTTAGTTGATGATAATCGTGATGATGGTGATAAAGTTAGTCGTACTAAGCAATTTGGAGCTGTTTATACCAGGAAACGAAAGAGGACAATACCCTGCGACTCATGTTTAAAAAGCAGTAGTTTGGAGGAAAAGTGTGGTTCAGATAAGATGTTTAAAAATAAGTACTTTAAAAAGAGGGTTAGAACTAATTTAGTATCTGGGATTTTCAATTTAAATTTAGGTTCTAACGTGAAAGATGTTTTATGGAAAGGGCCTGTTATTTTTTCTCGTGGTGATAATAGTAGTAGCAGAAGTAATGGGTTTTCTTGTTCTGTTAGTTCCGTTTTAAGATACATGAGGAATGTCAAAGTGTTCTCATGGAGACAGTTTTCTTCTTTCTTATTATCAGAGCTCACCCTTAGTATTTACTCATCCATTGGCATTCGGTTTTCCCAGGTATGTTATGCTATCTATATTTTCATGTATAAGCCAATGATCTATCATATTCTATATCTGTTTTTTTTGGATTGATGTCATGTTTGGGCCACACTCTTGATAATTGCCAAGATTCTAAGTATACTAGTGTAGTTATGTTCATATAATTGATTGAAGTATTCTCAAAAGGCAAGAAACTTATTTCTGCATAATATCTTATCGTTTCATTTTCTGCTATCTTTCAGGACACAATGGGCCATGGATTCTTGAAAGTGTTTGGCTCAGTTCTTTCTATACCACTCTTTACTGTCGACTTCATTTCACTTCCGTTCTGCTTTTTGTATATGCATTCAAGCTTACTTTTGAAATTTGCATTTCTATCCTATGCATTGATCTTACATCCAGTTGTTGAAAATGCTATGGATGATGATATCAAAGTGCCATCTGTTTTCACTGAACTCCACCATTTTGGTAAATATATGTTAGTCACAAAGCGTAGATCTTCCAGAAAAAGGGTACCAAGGGTATCACTTTTTAAAAAAGGGCAAACCCATGTAGATAATATAGTGCCTGTGCCTGGTGTGAGGGAAGTAGCAGGATATGAACAGGAGGAATATGTACCCTTTAAGCTACCGGATTTGTATATTAGTTCAAAAAGTGATGAAGTTTCTAGAACTTTGCAAAAGAGTTATCCGATTTATGATATGGATTCTGCTGATGAGAAGTGGTTAAAGAAGTTTAATAGTGAGCAGTTTGCTAACGAATGTGTCTCGGAAGATACTTTTGAGAAAGTAATTGATGCTTTTGAGAGAGGAATTTATTGTAGTCCAGATGATTATTCTAATGCCACATCAGCGGTTGATCGGTGTCTAGAATTGGCATCAAAGGATGTTTTAGAGGCTTTGTATAGGTATTGGATGACTAAGCGGAAGAAGAAACGCTCCCCTTTACTTAGAGTTTTTCAGGTAAAATATGATTTAAAAAGGATTAATTGCATAAAAGACAACATTTTTACTTTTTTTTACATTCTAAACTAAACAACTCTCCCGAACTTTTCGGTTTTGCCTTTTTACCTGGTTTACTAATTTCCATCTGCTAAAAAGGTCTTTTTCAAAAAAGTTATCAAAATGTTGTGTTTTTTATGCTTGTTTGCATAAAGACAATATTGTGACCATTTTTTGGAAAAAAACCTAATATTTTTTTTTTTACCAGATGGAAACTTGTAAATCGGGTAAAAAGGCAAAAACGAAAAGTTAGGTCAGTCTTTTGGTTTAGATTGTAAAACTTTTTATTAGGTCTTATCCGAAAAATGGTAATTTTTTTTGTCTTTTATGCAATTAACCTTTTTGAAAAAAATGCGTTTATATATAAAATATAAATTTTGGTATTTTTTTAACATGAGGACGTTGATGGCAGTGTTACCCGCGTAGAAGAGTTAGAAAACATGCTACAAATACTGTTCTTCGCAAAAAACGTTCTCTTAGAAAACGGAAGAGCCAACTTCATGCAGGAAAACCTGCTGGTTTCTTGAAAGGTGGGTATTAAGTAAAAAAGAAACACTCATTTATAATCCAACCACAGATGCCTTTGTACAAATTGTTAAATGCTTGATTTTGATATCTGAACAGCGATGATGATGATGAATGAACAAAAAACATTGGAAGAGGCTGCAGATGTGTATATGAAAGTGCATGAAACACAAGAAGATGTAAGGAGGTCAGAAATGACAGCCATTGTTAAACGACAAGAAGCTCAAGCTCTTATGGAGACTGCTGACTTGGCGACTTACAGAGCGACCATGGCACTTAGAATTGCAGAAGCTCGAGCAGCAACCACTGGGTTTTCTTTGTGAGTGAGCCAATAGATGATTCTTTTTTTTTTCCAGTTAATATAGTGTTGTAGAGCGTATTATTTTGTGTAATGCTATGTGTTTTGATGATGAAACCACACAACAGGTTTTAGTTTCTGCCAAAATATGGAAAAAAATAAATAAGATGCAGGTTTTAGAAGCTGGGAATTTTTTTGTTATGTTGAAGAACTAAATAGTTGTGTTTTATTTTTTGGTTTACATTGAAGTCTAAAAATATTGTTAAAATTTGCATTAGGTTTATATGCTGGTTTCTCCTAAGTTCTTAGGGTGCATGGAGTCGTTCTAGAGTGGATGCGGTTGAAGGGAGGTATTGCCGGTGAGCAGTACCAGAAAACCATAGGTGTGGCTTACCTATCCCCATGAGCTCGTTATAGTGGTGGGTGCCACATTTTTACCGTTAAACCATGGGATACCTACTACTACTATACCACTCCATTTTATTTTTTTAATTAAATTTAATTAAAAAATACAATAAAAATACAATAAGCACGCATATATATATATATATATATATATATATATATATATATATATATTATATATATATATATTAATTAGTTTTTTCATTGATTTAAAATACCACATTAAATAAAATAATTACATTAATTAAAAAAAAACGCAACGGTAAAAAGAAAAAAAAAACTACAAACGCCAAACATACATAAAAAAATTACAAACGCCAATTGGGTCTTGGGAAGCCGATACCTACGTCTTCACTAATTTCTCTTCTTTCTCTTTTGTCCATGGTATCCTTATTGGTTTAGGTCGGTTTTTTTTTCTTTTTTTGGTTAAGGTGATGGTGGTGAAGGTTGCATGTTCGAAAAAAAATCCGAAGAATGAGGAGGTTGTGAAGGTGGTGGTTGGAATTTTTGATAATGTTGGAATTGTTTGAATTGTTGTTGATAGGCCGAAAAAAGGTTGAAATTGTTGTTGGAAAAATGATGTTTGTTAGATAGGAGAACCGGTTTGGAGCAAATTCACAAAACCATATTGAGTTAATTCCATGGTTGGGAATTGACGGGGGGTTGTATCTAACACAAAAACGTTATCGGGTTTGCGTTTTCGATAGTTTGGGGGGTATTTTGATTGAGATCCATGGTTTTTGGTTGTAAAAAGGTTGTGTATATTGTGTAATAGAGAAAGAAAAGAATGAAAATGAGGGTGTATAGTGAGGTATTTATAGGTAAAATGGTTGTTTTAAAAAAATATTTTTTTTTGAACATTTGGCCGTTGAACAACTAGTCAAACGTTCAAAACATTCAAGAGCCCTGATTAGGCGTTGCATTCTGTTGTCCACACCATGAATCACAACGAGCACGACAGACCACGGCATGCCAGGGTGGTGTGCATGGACCACGATCGTGGTTACGTAGACCACAAGCCGGCTCGTGGCCGGTACTTCGAAAGGTTTAAGGGAGGAGGAAGTCATTCCCTCCTAACCGACTGTCATGTCAGTGCTACATTAACTTTTCTTTTTCCTCTTTTCTAACTCTCTCAACCCACAACACATGAAAATCTTATATTTTTCAACTCATTCAACCTACTTGTCACATTACTATTTTTTATTTAATTAAATTAGAAAAATATAAAATAAAATAAAACACAACATTTTTTGAAGAATTGGTTTTGTGAAGTTTCAAAAAAAATAAAAAAACACGCTTAAATCTTGGAGAAGACTTTGTTTTGTAAAATTCCAAAAATATTATCTAGAATAAAACATATATAAAAAATTATACAAAATAATAATAAACAAAAATAGGATAATCTTTTTCTTTTGTGGTCAAGAGGCAGAGCATTAAATCAAAGAATTAAATAGCGGGTATCACAAACCCATTGGAATAAAAAAAGGGAGAACCCACTCAACTTGCTGTTCAAGGTATGGTTTCCCAGCGTTACCCAGTACCGCCCCATCCCATTGCCGAAACCACATACGACTCCGTATTCCCTAAGAGCTACCACGTTATGATATTTTTTAAAGAAGGTTTTTTCAATAAAAAACTTAAAACAAAAAAAAATATTATTGTATCTTTCACAACATTAAAGCTTTTTCAACAGGATTTTTATAAGATTTCTCCTATAGGCTTATTTGAAATAGTTTTTATTGAATCTTTTAAAAATAACTTTAGAGTATTAATTTACAGAAAACAGTTCAACAATTTAAACCAAAGTATTTTTTTAGATTCAAATGCGGATAACGGTCTCAATCATAATTTTTCCAAACGTTTAGGTTTGTTAAGAACATTTAATGCGAGAGTGTCACAACATATATCAAAACAAAGGTTTAAGAAGTCATGACAAACCAAAGTCTTCTAAATATTTAAAGCTTATAAGCCTTCTAAGCTTTTGATAACATCTACTAATTTGCAAAAAATTATCAACGTAGCGAGTTAGGCTATAGGGAGCCTAATGAGTACAACCCTAAGGTTCGACATTATATCGATAGTGTATGAGTAACCACTCAACCCATGCATAAATGTACAAACCCTTACATTCCCAAAACATCAATACATAACTTGGGGGTAAAATGTTGGTGATTTTAATGTAGTTATTATTAATATGGAGATAGACTGACATCTATTTACTCACCGAGACTGGAGATGTGGAGTGCACATTCAAAATGATAAATATGAAGTCAGGAATACGGGAGCCCGGGGGCAGCGCCCTTGGGTACATGGTTCCAAGAAGTAGCGCCCTTGTGTATCGGGTTCCAAAAGACAACGCCCTTTGTTGGGTCCAAGGGGCAAAGCCCCTAGTAGGGATAAAAAAGAACCCAATACCTGATGGGGAACCTGAAACCCACACCCGGTTTGACCGAGGAATCCCCAAGTTGACCGGAGATGGGTAATACCCAAATTAAAAAGTGGGGATGGGGATACCCCTAGTCCTCGACCCTGGACTCGGTAGATATTAATATAATAAAGAAAATACAAAACATATATTTATGGTAAAATTTAGAGTACCTAAAATTTGATCAAAGTAACCCAACTCATTAGTAATTATTTTGTTGAAATTATATTTTTTCTTTTTTTTATTATCTAATTTAACCTCATGTATAATTTTTTCTCCTTGGTTTATCTATTGTTACCTCAAATATCACTATGATAATTTTTTTCTACTTGTTTTTCCATGTATGTATTTAAATTTAGTAGAAAATTTGTTTATAGTTTTTATGCAATCTATGGATATTTTTATGTTTTGTAAAATCTTTAAACTTACATTGGTAAACTGAGATTTAAATTTTTTCTTTACGTAAAATGTAACACCCCGTTTATTTATTTAATAAATAAACAAATTAATCGATGAATGAATCGTAGCCCAGAAATCAGTAATTATATGGCAGAGTGTTGGTCTCGAGGGGTTAATTGTCAGTTTTAGAAGTTTGGGGTTAAAAGTGTAAGTTCTAGGATTTATTTTGTAAAGATTTTTAGAAGACAAGGGGTATTTGGTAAATTCTGGGCCAAATATGAAAAGGATTGGTGGGGGGAGGGGCTGTATTGTAAATCTCAGACCTAATTTGTAATGTATTTAGATGGCATGGGTTAAAAAGGTAATTATCGGATTTAAATTGAAGAAGATTTCCAAATCCAGGGTAAAAAGGGTAAATATTGGATTAAATGTGAAGAAATCTTATGGGGAGGGACCAATTCTGCCATTATGGCAACTTGGTTATGGAGTCGGGTATATAAGTGTAAGGAACCCTAACCCTAAAGGAAGGAATCAGTCGTCACCCTCCTTATGCCTCCCTCGCCGGCCGCCACTCCCGTTTCTTCACCTCCGGTCGCCGCCACCTCCCATTCCTATCCTCCCTCCGCCACAGCAACCTAATCGTCGCTAGGTGCCGCCACATCGCTGTTGCTGGAAGCGAATGAGAAGCCGGAAAGCTGCTGAGAGAGGCCGAGATCGTCGCAGCCGCCGCCCCCGGCCGTCAGATCCTGCTGTCGCTACTCCTTCGTCACCGAGGAACCACGACGTCGCTGCTGTTGGGTTCTAGTCGGAGGCTAGGCGCTTTTCGCTATCGTCGTTTGCTGATGCCGTTCGAAAATCGCTAGATCCCGCCGACGCCTCCATAAGCCACCTGCCACCGTGAAATGGTGGCTAGGTTGGTGGTCTCGTGAAGCTGGGTTCGTATTAGAGTGTTGGAGGCGTGTGTTTCGATGGTCAGGACTGCAAGAGGGTCCTTTGGCTGGAGTTATAAAGAAAACCCCACTGCCACCACCGTGAGGTGGTGGCTGTTGTCCTTAACCGCCGGCCGCCGCCGGCCACCGCTAGGTCATTGCTTATGTGTGTTTGTATTGGTGTGTGTGTGTTTGATTATTGCAGTTAGCATTGTAAAATGTATCTAGAAAGAAGGATAATGAAATGAAATTGAAAACCACCACCTTAGGGTGGTGGCCGCCGCCGTGAGCCGCCATTGACCACCACTACCCGATGTGGTAGTGGATGGTGCCCCGCTAGCAAACCCTAATTGCCCTAGCAAAACCCTAATGGGCTTAAAGATTTATTTTGGGCCTGTTGGGCCATGTTTGGGTGAAAACCCTAATTAGGGTTTAGAAAACCCTAATCTTGAGTAATTGGGCCTTGGACTTATTTGGGCCCACATTTGGGCCATTGGAAGTGGATTTATGTATGAAGCCTAAATCACTCCATATCACTTATCTAGTAGAGTAAAGGACTTAATGGATTAAGTCCTTAATGGGTTAAGTAAGAAACACTTAACCCTAATTATCATTTTATGTGAAACCCTAATTTCACTTGGGCTTTGTGTTGGGCCATCCAAGAATAATCAAATGGACTAGAGTAATTAGTTGGGCTTTAGGGTAAGGCCCATATGAAGGATTGGGCCCAATTTGGAAAATTGGGCCATTGATCGGTCATAGTTTGGGCCTAGATGGTTGTATGATATTGGGCCCTTAAATGAGACATGTTGGACTGGACTGAACAATTGGGCCTTAAGGGAAGTCCATGTAGAGGTTTGGGCCTAA